GTAGAGCTTCACACTCATGTACCCTGACTGTGTATTAAGGGTTGATATAACACCTGTAGAGGTTCACACTCATGTACCCCGACCGTGTATTAAGGGTTGATATAACGCCTGTAGAGCTTCACACTCATGTACCCCGACTGTGTATTAAGGGTTGATATAACACCTGTAGAGCTTCACACTCATGTACTCCGACTGTGGATTAAGGGTTGATATAACGCCTGTAGAGCTTCACACTCATGTACCCCGACCGTGTATTAAGGGTTGATATAACTCCTGTAGAGCTTCACACTCATGTACCCTGACTGTGTATTAAGGGTTGATATAACACCTGTAGAGCTTCACACTCATGTACCCCGACTGTGTATTAAGGGTTGATATAACTCCTGTAGAGCTTCACACTCATGTACCCCGACCGTGTATTAAGGGTTGATATAACACCTGTAGAGCTTCACACTCATGTACCCCGACTGTGTATTAAGGGTTGATATAACTCCTGTAGAGCTTCACACTCATGTACCCCGACCGTGTATTAAGGGTTGATATAACACCTGTAGAGCTTCACACTCATGTACCCCGACTGTGTATTAAGGGTTGATATAACGCCTGTAGAGCTTCACACTCATGTACCCTGACTGTGTATTAAGGGTTGATATAACGCCTGTAGAGCTTCACACTCATGTACCCCGACTGTGTATTAAGGGTTGATATAACTCCTGTAGAGCTTCACACTCATGTACCCCGACCGTGTATTAAGGGTTGATATAACACCTGTAGAGCTTCACACTCATGTACCCTGACTGTGCATTAAGGGTTGATATAACTCCTGTAGAAGTCCACACTCACTTAAATTGGTCGCGTTGCCTATTACCTGAGAAATAATGAGCTATTTATTCCCCTGTGGACCCTTATAGCCTTAATAATGTGAGTCGTCACATATCAAGACATTGTGGAAATCATAGTCTTTCAGCCGCACCGCTTTTCAGTTACAAGACAAAACAAGACAAGATTTTACAATAGCAACAGTTTTGAGTTTTAGTCAAATGCGTGATATTTGTAACTAAAGGATAAAATACGCGGTTTCGAATTTTTCAAAATGAATCAGTTTCCGCATCCAAGTTAGCCCTGATCACGTTTGTATATAAAATTACCCTGATACTCCGTCGTGTATTTCTGATCGCGTGCATATACACCTACATACCTGCAGCTAGTGACTACAAGCTATATCTGATCCCTGACACCTACATACCTGCAGCTAGTGACTACAAGCTATATCTGATCCCTGAAACCTACATACCTGCAGCTAGTGACTACAAGCTATATCTGATCCCTGACACCTACATACCTGCAGCTAGTGACTACAAACTATATCTGATCCCTGACACCTACATACCTGCAGCTAGTGTCTACAAGCTATATCTGATCCCTGACACCTACATACCTGCAGCTAGTGACTACAAGCTATATCTGATCCCTGACACCTACATACCTGCAGCTAGTGACTACAAGCTATATCTGATCCCTGACACCTACATACCTGCAGCTAGTGACTACAAGCTATATCTGATCCCTGACACCTACATACCTGCAGCTGGTGGCTACAAGCTATATCGGATCCCTGACACCTACATACCTGCAGCTAGTGACAACAAGCTATATCTGATCCCTGACACCTACATACCTGCAGCTAGTGACTACAAGCTATATCTGATCCCTGACACCTACATACCTGCAGCTAGTGACTACAAGCTATATCTGATCTCTGACACCTACACACCTGCAGCTAGTGGCTACAAGCTATATCTGATCCCTGACACCTACATACCTGCAGCTAGTGACTACAAGCTATATCGGATCCCTGACACCTACATACCTGCAGCTAGTGACTACAAGCTATATCTGATCCCTGACACCTACATACCTGCAGCTAGTGACTACAAGCTATATCTGATCCCTGACACCTACATACCTGCAGCTGGTGGCTACAAGCTATATCGGATCCCTGACACCTACATACCTGTAGCTAGTGACTACAAGCTATATCTGATCCCTGACACCTACATACCTGCAGCTAGTGACTACAAGCTATATCTGATCCCTGACACCTACATACCTGCAGCTAGTGACTACAAGCTATATCTGATCTCTGACACCTACACACCTGCAGCTAGTGGCTACAAGCTATATCTGATCCCTGACACACCCACAAACATGTTTACATTAAGTCACACTGCTAATAAAACACATATGAAATGTACACCAGGAACTACAGTTTCAAGTACGTTTACACGAGGAAAAGACTGACACAGAATTTGAAACAAACCGAACACGGAAAAAGCACGAACATGCGTTATCCGTGAGTGTTTATCTTTGGGCTCAGCTTTTAAAACTATGCGAAGTTTAACTTTACCCCATTTACAGGTTCTGAGACGGAATATTTGCCTATCAACTCACACCATCAACAGAGCTAACTGCGATGTCGACAACGGTGACGTCGACGACATCGTGAGGGAAGACAGCCTGTCATTGCCTTGTTCCACTGCGGGTCTAGCCTGCAGGAATAGTGACCAAACTTCCGGAATATGCAATAACTACAGAATAAGATTCTTCTGTCAACGTACGTGCCTCTATGTTGCGTGAATACTTACGTTTCTCTGTATGATGTATTTTGGAGTTTTTCTGGTTTCACCCATAGTGTGTTCCCCAGACCCCAGATAATAAATATATAGGAATTGTATTCAAGTCTAGATTGCCTAAAGAATGTCCTGGGCTCCATTTGGATTTGGGATTTTTTTACATTTTGTTAAATAAGATTTTAATTTAGTGTTTCTAAATTTTATCAAATACGATAACTTTATTTTGGGGACAAAAAGTCAGTCTAGTTCCTCACAATAAATTCCGTTGTCCCCAGCAGCATAAGCTGGTTGTAGGAGGCGACCTACGGTAACAGCGGGGTCAGGCTCGGGGACGTGGTTGTTGGCATGTCTGTATTGACATAATACAAAATCGCAGGATTGTCTGGTCATTTCTCGATTTTTACGTGAAACATTTGGAACACATATGTCTCAGCAACTGCATAAATTCATGCAGACTACCCGTGAAGATCCGGGGTAGAATGGATCTTCAGCAACCCATTCTCGCCACAAAAGGCGACTATGCTCGTCGGGATCGGGTGGTCAGGCTCGTTGACTTGGTTGACACATGTCATCGGTTCCCAATTACGCAGATCGATGCTCATGCTGTTGATCACTGGATTGTCTGGTCGAAACTCGATTATGTACAGACCGTCGCCATATAGCTGGAATATTGGTGAGTGCGGTGTAAAACTAAACTCACTCACTCACTCATGCAAACTCTTCATCTCCTTTCCGTGTTTTCAGCACTAAACAGGGTCCACACGGAAGGAAACACGACACAAGACGAGGACGAGGAAAGAAATGGTACAAGAAGTGTACCCCGATTTGACATGCGCATTTACATCGTCCTCGCGGCTATTATGGTCGTCATCATCCTGTTCCGTATTTGCTGGTCGTGCACCTTCGAGAAGCGACGTCGCCGGAACAGACGCTCTACGCGTGCGCAACGTCCAGCTCAAGACGAGGAGGCGGTTCACCCGGAAGTGTTTCTTCCTCCACCGAGCTACCAGGAACTATTTGGCTTGAATGGAGGGCCTTTCTTGTTTTCTCGACATTTTAGGGACAGACATTTGACAAATCATGACACAGAAACCTCTACTTCATCTGAACATGAGCCGGACGTGATGATAACATCGTAAACCACGTCTTCATCTGCGGGGTCTCCGTCATCTTCGAGATCGAACTCTCAAACAGTCCAGCCTGCTCAGTGTGACTGCCCTTGCCATAAACAAGCACCGGAAGTCAGTGTTTATGACAATCCCGCATATGAACCGGAAGTAGCTATACATAATGGCCGGTCATCACGGATACCGGGGCTGCATTTGCCTGTATTTTCTTTATTCAGGTCAACATCTGCTTCCTCCGTTGAAGAAGCCCCACCCCCAAATTACAAGGAGGCTTTGAAAATATTGAAACTGAACAAAAAACTCTCTCGTTGAAACACTGTTGTTTGTTCGTCAGAAACACATATGGGCATTTCCAGCTATCTCGTATAGATATTCAAGGCTGGTCCTTGAAATATGAAAACCCCAGCTGATCACGTGACTACTCGTCAAAGTTACATCCTTCCGTGAAATCCTACACCGAGGGGAGATAACTATTTATGTAGATTGATGACAGTAATATTATAATGTTGAACTGTATTCGTGTATCTGTTATATCAATGATATTATGTTTGTGTTATGAGAGTTGCTCAAGTTAGTGTACACTGTGAACTTCAACCAGACAATCCTTCACTGACCTCCCTTTATACAGTATCACCTCTCATTATCAGTTCATGTGTGGGGCATGGGTAGAAAGTTTCCCAAGTATACATGTATATCGCTCTTTACTGTTCTCAGCTGTAAGGGAAACTCTTAGTTCGTGGGTCGATGCTGGTATTGGGTTTGCCTGTCCCAGATGAACATTACCTTTGAAGGCGTTGTGCTTTCACTACGACGGTGTAGAGCTAGCGGTGAATATCCCAGAGAAAGGTATGCGGATTAAAACTCAAACCGGAATCACACTTATAAATGTTTGACCCAAGAGAATGTCAACTTTGTAGATCCGTGATGTTCAACTGACACTGCTACACGAACTTAACTGTGTACTTTGAACTTTGTACTTTGAACTTTGTACCCAGACTGAATTACATGCGAGGCCAGTGAGACACGTAAGGAAGATCCTGTGTGACCCGTGACAAAGCAACGTGTATCTTGTTCTTCTGCTGCTGGGAGATATATGTTGTTACGAGATATGTTGACGTGATGCTGTGACGTCAAATTGAATTTCCCCATGCGCTTCGGAGTCACTACACCAGGGGAGATAACCTGTATCATCAAATGTCAGTATGCTGGTTTTTCTGAGAAATTGACTTACTGTTGGATCTGTTACTCAAAGTAGAGGCAATCAAAACCACGAAACTGTGTATTTCCTGCGGAAACCGTGATTACCATACTAATAACAATAGTAATAACGCAATGTGTTAGTTTGCTGTTGACGTCATGGACAGCACATATTATGACATCCTTGTTTAATAAAATAAACCAAATACTGAATGGATATTGTGTCGTATATATGTTGTAGTAGCAATGTACATGATCCATTCTGGGTCCGACATAACTGCTTGACATCGTCAGCATCAATCTCAGCACTCGGGACGTGAATCAAGCAGATAGTAAGCACAAAACATAGCCTGAGCTAACCGGTATTCGAACCCAGAACCACAGGTTAACTTTACAATGTATAACACTCAAGGAATGCAACAAGTCGTTCAACAAATAATGCTTCCAATATGTCAGAACACGATGATTGGGTAACTCTTGTAGGTCTTCTGGGTCTTGTCTTATCCGTCGTAGACTGTTTTGCACTAGGGTAAAGATAGGGAACAATATGCTACTACATTATCTCCCTTAGTGCAGAATTTTCTCCAGCAGTAACTGGAAAACTGATGAAAGTGATAAAACCCAATAAACTCAATTTCAATGCACTAATATTGACCTATGATTATATGCCACCTATATATGTGGCTGTCCATATTGTCGAATACTTTCATACTTTCAAGGGCAGGTCAGAAATATCCAAATTGTATGGAATCCCAGAAGGGACATTGTCGAGTTGTCATTGCAAACCCATTAAAAACCTGAGTATATTCCTTTCATGATTCCATCACTTTGTGGATTGGGTGATTGAGGTTTTACACAACTTTTAGCAATATTGCAGACGCAGACGATGCAGACATCGTACCCATGTGGGGAATCGAACACAAGTCTTCGGCGTGACGAGCGAACTCTTTAACCACTAGACTACCTCAACGCCCCAACTTCGTGGAGGAGAAAGGAGCGTGCACAAGTCATTTATGTTCTATTGCGCCAATCGTCAATTCTTCTGTACCAGAGACCCAATTGTGACAGTAACCTATAGTTTCTGTAGCAGAGCCCCCTTGGGGCAGTAACCAACATTTACTGGAGCAGAGGCCCACTTGTAGTAGATGCCCACTTGTGGCAGTAGTATAGTGTGTATGGACCGATCCCAGGAGAGAACATATTGGTTCTACCACAGAAAATTCAACGCCAATAGCCGATGTTTAAAGTTAGTTCCACTACAAAAGTGAACGGGTATGATTAATCCGTTTTTAACGCTTTTCAAGACTTCCAACAGTCTCAACATTCTCAAGATGTTTGTATTAGTTGGGTGGCATGACTTAATCCTACTTCGTGTAAATCCGGCATATGTAAGCAGTAAACCCCATAATGCAGTGTGAACACAACACGATTTATAATCATAAACCAACAAATAGAATAGATTAAGTCTGTTAGGAATTTCTGTACTTTTATTAGCAAGTATATATCATGCAGTACAAATTAAAAGCTTTTCAAGTGAGTTTTATGATTGACATATCTTTTTAAGATTGAACCAACTAGGTATGACAGTCAGCACTGAACTATGTCTGCTAGCGATTTTATTATCTGCACCCAGAACTCGCTCAATGTACCCTGTCTCAAAAGCATTTCAGTCTGTTGGGAAGCGACCATTTTCCTGTCCTTGTAACAGTAGGCAATATAAATAACGAAAACCGGAATAATCCACAAGAACCAAAATTCTAAAACAAAGCCTGCTGGTTCGAAAATTTGTGTAACTAGGTAAACCAAACTGAACAAGAAAACAAAGACCAGGACAATTTTTGCCAAAACCTAACACACTGCATCATATATAAAGCTAAAGAATTCATTCCTTTAAAATGCCTACAATAGATAACCCTTCAGTATTGTGGTGCATCAAAACAATCAAACAGACCAGGAAAAAGAGCACTGTACAATGCTGTATACACAGTGGTGTGGTTTCCACTTATCCAGTGCCAGGTTACATCAGTCGGGTATCGTACACAGTGTAAAACATCATGTCATACAGTGTATGCAATATGTCATGCATACATTCATACCAGAATCCACTAAGGTTACAATACTTGAAAATAGTACCATGCTATATACACCTCTACAACCCTATACGCTGGTACATGCAGCAATACACAACTATATATATATGACATTTACACCACAGCTAAACAATGCCATAGTATAACACGATAGTATACTACATTGTCACGTACACCACGATACATTGTTATATACAGATATTCAGCTTCCAGATATGTTTCCTCTCTTGCACGGCAGACAGTTTCTGATGTGTTCATCAGTAAAGGTCACATCTGCACACCTAAGACAAGATCACAAGCATTACAGTTGTTTCAATGTAACGACTTAGCAAATTGTGTTAGTTTTATCTATCAGTTGTCAGATTTGCGCCCTCAGATACAAGGAGATGATAAACATCATAGTGTCCTCTTTTCAATGCCAGAATTATTGGTGTTTGTTTTGACTTTCCTCCCCGTCTGTTGATGTCACATGTTTTCATTGATAGGATGTGTTTCACAACAGATATGTTACCTCCTTCACATGCCAACATCAGACAGTCAGTGTTGTATCCATCAGTAAGGGTCAGATCTGCGCCCTCAGATACAAGGAGATGATAAACATCATAGTATCGTCCTTCTAATGCCATCATTATTGGTGTTTGGTTTGAGTATCCTCCCCGTCTGTTGATGTCACATGTTTTCATTGATAGGATGTGTTTCACAATAGATATGTTACCTCCTTTGCATGCCAACATCAGACAGTCAGTGTTGTCTTCACCAGTAAGGGTCAGATCTGCACCCTCAGATACAAGGAGATGATAAACATCATAGTGTCTTCCTTTTACTGCCATCATTATTGGTGTTTGGTTTGAGTATCCTCCCCGTCTGTTGATGTCACATGTTTTCATTGATAGGATGTGTTTCACAATAGATATGTTACCTCCTGTGCATGCCAACATCAGAGAGTCAGTGTTGGCTTCATCAGTAAGTGTCAGATCTGCACCCTCAGATACAAGGAGATGACCAACGTCATAGTGCCCACTTTCTAATGCCATCATTATTGGTGTTTGTTTTGAGCATCCTCCTCGTCTGTTGATGTCACATGTTTTCATTGATAGGATGTGTTTCACAATAGATATGTTACCTCCTTCACATGCCAACATCAGACAGTCAGTGTTGTCTTCACCAGTAAGGGTCAGATCTGCACCCTCAGATACAAGGAGATGACAAACATCATAGTGTCCTCCTTTTACTGCCATCATTATTGGTGTTTGGTTTAGGTATCCTCCCCGTCTGTTGATGTCACATGTTTTCATTGATAGGATGTGTTTCACAATAGATATGTTACCTCCTTCACATGCCAACATCAGAGAGTCAGTGTTGGCTTCATCAGTAAGGGTGAGATCTGCGCCCTCAGATACAAGGAGATGATAAACATCATAGTGTTCTCTTTCTAATGCCATCATTATTGGTGTTTGGTTTGAGTATCCTCCCCGTCTGTTGATGTCACATGTTTTCATTGATAGGATGTGTTTCACAATAGATATGTTACCTCCTTCACATGCCAACATCAGACAGTCAGTGTTGTGTCCATCAGTAAGGGTCAGATCTGCGCCCTCAGATACAAGGAGATGACAAACATCATAGTGTCGTCCTTCTAATGCCATCATTATTGGTGTCTGGTTTGAGTATCCTCCCTGTCTGTTGATGTCACATGTTTTCATTGATAGGATGTGTTTCACAATAGATATGTTACCTCCTGTGCATGCCAACATCAGACAGTCAGTGTTGTGTCCATCAGTAAGGGTCAGATCTGCGGCCTCAGATACAAGGAGATGACAAACATCATAGTGTCTTCCTTTTAATGCCAGCATTATTGGTGTTTGGTTTGACTTTCCTCCCCGTCTGTTGATGTCACATGTTTTCATTGATAGGATGTGTTCCACAACAGATATGTTACCTCCTTTGCATGCCAACATCAGACAGTCAGTGTTGTGTACATCAGTAAAGGTCAGATCTGCGCCTTCAGATACAAGGAGATGACAAACATTATAGTGTCGTCTTTTTAATGCCAGCATTATTGGTGTTTGTTTTGAGTATCGACCCCGTTTGTTGATGTCACATGTTTTCATTGATAGGATGTGTTTCACAATAGATATGTAACCTCCTTCACATGCCAACATCAGACAGTCATAGTTGTCTTTATCAGTAAGGGTCAGATTTGCGCCCTCAGATACAAGGAGATGATAAACATCATAGTGTCGTCCTTCTAATGCCATCATTATTGGTGTTTGGTTTGACTCTCCTCCCCGTCTGTTGATGTCCCATGTTTTCATTGATAGGATGTGTTTCACAATAGATATGTTACCTCCTTCACATGCCAACATCAGGCAGTCAGTGTTGTGTCCATCAGTAAGGGTCAGATCTGCGCCCTCAGATACAAGGAGATGATAAACATTATAGTGTCGTCTTTTTACTGCCAGCATTATTGGTGTTTGTTTTGACTTTCCTCCCCGTCTGTTGATGTCACATGTTTACATTGATAGGATGTGTTTCACAATAGATATGTTACCTCCTTTGCATGCCAACATCAGAGAGTCAGTGTTGTCTTCATCAGTAAGGGTCAGATCTGCGCCCTCAGATACAAGGAGATGACAAACATCATAGTGTCCACCTTCGAATGCCATCATTATTGGTGTTTGGTTTGACTCTCCTTCCCGTCTGTTGATGTTACATGTTTTCATTGATAGGATGTGTTTCACAATAGATATGTTACCTCCTTTGCATGCCAACATCAGACAGTCAGTGTTGTCATCATCAGTAAGGGTCAGATCTGCGCCCTCAGATACAAGGAGATGATAAACATCATAGTGTCCTCCTTCTACTGCCAGCATTATTGGTGTTTGTTTTGAGCATCCTCCTCGTCTGTTGATGTCACATGTTTTCATTGATAGGATGTGTTTCACAATAGATATGTTACCTCCTTCACATGCCAACATCAGACAGCCATCTTTGTCTTTATCAGTAAGGGTGAGATCTGCACCCTCAGATACAAGGAGGTGACAAACATCATAGTGTCCTCTTCTCAATGCCATCATTATTGGTGTTTGGTTTGAGTATCCTCCCCGTCTGTTGATGTCACATGTTTTCATTGATAGGATGTGTTTCACAATAGATATGTTACCTCTTCCACATGCCAACATCAGAGAGTCAGTGTTGTCTTCACCAGTAAGGGTCAGATCTGCGCCTTCAGATACAAGGAGATGATAAACATCATAGTGTCCTCTTTCTACTGCCATCATTATTGGTGTTTTGTTTGAGTATCCTCCCTGTCTGTTGATGTCACATATTTTCATTGATAGGATGTGTTTCACAATAGATATGTTACCTCCTTCACATGCCAACATCAGACAGTCAGTGTTGTCTTCACCAGTAAGGGTCAGATCTGCGCTCTCAGATACAAGGAAATGATAAACATCATAGTGTCTTCCTTCTAATGCCATCATTATTGGTGTTAGGTTTGAGTATCCTCCACGTCTGTTGATGTCACATGTTTTCATTGATAGGATGTGTTTCACAATAGATATGTTACCTCCTGTGCATGCCAACATCAGACAGTCAGTGTTGTCTTCATCAGCAAGGGTCAGATCTGCACCCTCAGATACAAGGAGATGATAAACATCATAGTGTCCTCCTTCTACTGCCATCATTATTGGTGTTTGTTTTGAGTATCCTCCCCGTCTGTTGATGTCCCATATTTTCATTGATAGGATGTGTTTCACAATAGATATGTTACCTCCTGTGCATGCCAACATCAGAGAGTCAGTGTTGTGTCCATCAGTAATGGTCAGATCTGCACCCTCAGATTCAAGGAGATGATAAACATCATAGTGTCGTCCTTTTACGGCCAGCATTATTGGTGTTTGTTTTGACTTTCCTCCCCGTCTGTTGATGTCACATGTTTTCATTGATAGGATGTGTTTCACAATAGATATGTTACCTCCTTCACATGCCAACATCAGACAGTCAGTGTTGAATGTATTAGTTAGGGTCAGATCTGCGCCCTCAGATTCAAGGAGATGATAAACATCATAGTGTCTTCCTTCTACTGCCATCATTATTGGTGTCTGGTTTGAGTATCCTCCCCGTCTGTTGATGTCACATGTTTTCATTGATAGGATGTGTTTCACAATAGATATGTTACCTCCTTCACATGCCAACATCAGACAGTCAGTGTTGTCTTCACCAGTAAGGGTCAGATCTGCACCCTCAGATACAAGGAGATGATAAACATCATAGTGTCTTCCTTTTACTGCCATCATTATTGGTGTCTGGTTTGAGTATCCTCCCCGTCTGTTGATGTCACATGTTTTCATTGATAGGATGTGTTTCACAATAGATATGTTACCTCCTTTGCATGCCAACATCAGACAGTCAGTGTTGAATGTATTAGTAAGGGTCAGATCTGCGCCCTCAGATTCAAGGAGATGATAAACATCATAGTGTCCTCCTTCTACTGCCATCATTATTGGTGTTTGGTTTGAGTATCCTCCCCGTCTGTTGATGGCACATGTTTTCATTGATAGGATGTGTTTCACAATAGATATGTTACCTCCTTTGCATGCCAACATCAGACAGTCAGTGTAGAATGTATTAGTAAGGGTCAGATCTGCGCCCTCAGATTCAAGGAGATGATAAACATCATAGTGTCCTCTTTCTACTGCCATCATTATTGGTGTTTGGTTTGAGTATCCTCCCCGTCTGTTGATGGCACATGTTTTCATTGATAGGATGTGTTTCACAATAGATATGTTACCTCCTTTGCATGCCAACATCAGACAGTCAGTGTTGAATGTATTAGTTAGGGTCAGATCTGCGCCCTCAGATTCAAGGAGATGATAAACATCATAGTGTCCTCCTTCTACTGCCATCATTATTGGTGTTTGGTTTGAGTATCCTCCCCGTCTGTTGATGTCACATGTTTTCATTGATAGGATGTGTTTCACAATAGATATGTTACCTCCTTTGCATGCCAACATCAGACAGTCAGTGTTGAGTGTATCAGTAAGGGTCAGATCTGCGCCCTCAGATACAAGGAGGTGATAAACATCATAGTGTCCACTTTTCAATGCCATCATGATTGGTGTTTGGTTTGAGTATCCTCCCCGTCTGTTGATGTCACATGTTTTCATTGATAGGATGTGTTTCACAATAGATATGTTACCTCCTTTGCATGCCAACATCAGGCAGTCAGTGTCGTCTCCATCAGTAAGGGTCAGATCTGCGCCCTCAGATACAAGGAGATGATAAAGATCATAGTGTCCGCCTTCCGCGGCAAACATAACTGGTGTTTTCTTCAATTCGCTATCCTTCTTGCTTACATCATATATTTTCAATGAAATCAAAAATTTCACAGTTGACAGATTGCCATTTTGACTTGACAAATGCAAACAGTCTTTCCCGAGTGTACATGTTAAATCGGCTCCTTTTTCTTTGAGAAACTTCAGAATATTAAGCTGACCTGTTTTTGCACAAATCATTGCAGGCGTTAAATTCTCATAATTCTTCAAATTAATCAATGCAGGGCATGTTTCCACCACCTTCATTGCCAATGCCATGTTTCCTGATTCACAGGCATAATGCAAACAGGTGTTTCCTTTCCAGTCCCTCACTGGAACATCAGCACCTTTCTGTATGAGAAAGTTGAACACCTTGGATTTTGGTGACTTTGCAGCCATGAGCAGGAGGGTTGTCCCATCAATGGTATATTCAACATTAAATCCTCCATGTTTACCCATCACTGTAACGAGGTGTTCCAGATGTTCCAGTTTGTCGTGGGTAACACAGGCTACCACACATGCATACAGATCAGGTGATCTGTCACCCAGTCGTACAGCAACTTCTAAAGACTTGGAGAATAGAAAGTAACTGTCAGAGAGGGAAGCCAAATGCAAAAAGCTTTCACCAGTGTCCACATCCCTTTGTAGGACAGTCTCAACTATGTTATCATTGATCTCTGTCCAAAGCAGAGAAGCAATCCCTTCACCACGGATAACTGGGTGATTTACTGTCCAAATGAAGCATCCTTGTCGGATACCTTCCACCAATCTGTTCACTACTGTTGGGTGTAGTTGGGGAGAGATGGAGATCATGTTTGTGACATCGTCCATGCCTGTTGACTCAGAACTCTTATCCAATCTCACTCTTTCATACAAGAATTTCAGTGAGCAGTGTTCCAGCAGCAACACGATATTGAGATGTCCTACAGCACAGGCTGCAGCATCGTATATGGAGGGGTGGGAGAAAGATGCCATGTGATCCTCCACTGTACAGTAGATCCCAGTGAAGTTGTGGATCTCATTGGTAACGCCTGTCCTTGTACAACAAGGAACTACTTCCTTCACAGCGTCAAACATTACATGTCCAGTTTTCCGTGACTGCAAAGAAACAAGATTCAGTTTCCCATCAGACAGGATGAGGATGATGATTGCTGCCGATCTATTGCTTTCCTCCCAGACAATGGTGTCAAGGTCGCCTCTCAGGTAGGTCAGTGGATGGTTGAAGAATTGCAAGTTGTGCATCTGGAAGACATCATTGGTGAAAAAGAGTCGGCTGATAAGAGGAAATCCAAATATGCTGTGTTTTGAATCTGCGATGTTACAAATATCTTTTTCAGAGATATCGCATGCAGGGTGTTTGGACTTGTAGGACCATAACATACGTTTCTTTTCTTCCATCGTGAGACAGTCTTTAGCCATATCAAGAACAGCTTCTGTTGTAAGCAGATCCACCTTGTACTGATGTAGTCTGGAACATCCTCCCTTCCAGTTGTATGTCCTGGATGTGAACACAAGCTTCAGTCTGTAGACAGGGATTTCTTCATTAGATTTGTCTTCCTGTTTTGATTGTTCACCCTTATTCTTCTTCTTCTTCTTCTTTGAGTCCTCTATATCTGCAGCTGTTTTAGCACGATCATCAACCAAAGCACTAAACAATTTATGCAGTTTTTCCAAATTTGAAATGAAAGTAACACAGCCAAATATATCATCAAAAACAACCAACATGTGTGATTGACGTTTAGAAATTGTATCAACATCAAAGTGTTCAATGTTTTCCACAAAGACTGTTTCATATCCCTGTTGCTGATATGCCTCACAGATCATCAGAGCAATGCTGGTCTTCCCATCCCCCGGGGCTCCACAGATGTTGACATGACCATGCTTCTCAAGGAGTTGTTTGGCTGTCTGGAGGGCATGGATGTCCACAAAATACTTCTTTAGGAGTTCCATCTTTTGACGGAAACGTTCTGTGGGGAAAGGAAACTACAATTGGGTGACAGTTCATGCGGTTGGTGTATGGATCTGATGCTGTCAATTCATACAAGCATACACGTAAACGTAACAATTTCCATCTTTAAGCTCACCACAGAGGATGAAAGTATGGACTTACACGCATTTATCCTAACTGCTCCATAATGAAAATACTGTAAATGTTTTAGATCAACTGTTCATTGATCGGAACATTCATTATGTCTGAACAATTATTTCTGAGATAAAACCTGAGAACGAATCCCCAGTTAATTTGGGAAGATTATTATGGATTGTGAAGCCCCTGGAAATCTATTATTACCATGCCCTCTTTTCATTTTCAGGATAACACGTTTGAGCAGCTACATGAAGGATCAAAAACAGCACTCAAGATCGAGATGCGATTGTCGCCATTGTCCTCTTTACCAAATTATCAGTATGTTTGTGCATCATCTCACCTTGGGACAGACATCCTTTAGTTCCTTGCTGCCCAACGGAGACAGATACATTGGAAGCATTGGTCAAGTCCACCTGAGACACTGGGCCACCTGCAACAGAACAAGATAACCTCTGGTCTCAATATTCACGTCATACCCATCCGGTCAAGGAACCATAAACATAAATTCAAACCAATTATTTCATTTGGTAATACTCCTGCTTATCTAACTGCATGCATGACTTGAATGAATGAAATGCTCACTGTAGTTCTGCTGTATGGCTGAGACAGAAGTGGGTTGTCTCCCTTCTTCATTCCTCCTCAGTACTTCAGCTGCTTCCTCAGTAAGCCATCTGGTCATGTGCTGGTCACGTGAGTCGGGAGTTCCTTCCATTGCTCACCGTTCTGAAAGTAAACTACACTTACTACACTATGACTGAGGACTTGCTCAAGCTACAGTACATTCCACATGGGTCTGATCTTTATATTTTGAAAGAATTTCTCCAGCAGTTTATGCAGTACGGTCTAACAGATCAAGCAAGAAAGTATGCAACTGAAATTTGAAAGTCATATGCACTTCCAGTCTATTAGTCCCGACCTTCGTACTCAGTTTTGATTCCAGCAAGAGAACAGGTTCATGGTCCAAACCTCATTGTAGAGGTTTTAAGTTTTTAACATTGCAGAACATTGTGTTTCAAGTAAGACAGGTTTAATTCCAGAAAATATTCATCTACATCTATCATACCAAGTCCTCCGAATTCAAATCTTTTAAACGTGTTACTTCTGTAACTGGCGATTAGGTCCCTGACTCTGAGGGTGTGGGTTCGAATCCCGGATGGGACTTAACCCAACAAAACTGCAAGAATCTGTACCTTACTAAGAGAGTGTAATTCCAAATATAACAATTGTTACGTCAGAAATACGCTCAAACCCATGTGCGTGCGTTTGAATCCCTCACCGTCCATGGCATTATCCTTACTAAAAACTACACAAAACAATTCTGTTACAAAGGTTCTTCGTACTTTCAATATGACGATATATAAGCTTCAGAATGTGTTTAACAATGACATGATTCCATAAATGATTTAAGTACCCGGGATTATCTTTATCAAAGCACCTTTTGTCGTATTTGTAGTCTTCTTGTAGGTTACGGAAAGGGGCGAATGGGACACATCCATCAAAGCCATCGCGCTGGCTGAATGCCTATCGTGTGTCGAGAACAGTTGTATAGCCACATTATAGAGTTATAGACTGGTGATGAAGTCAATAGCCACATTATACAGTTATAGACTGGTGTTGAGGTCAATAGCCACATTATACAGTTATAGACTGGTGATGAGGTCAATAGCCACATTATACAGTTGTAGACTGGTGATGAGGTCAATAGCCACATTATACAGTAATAGACTGGTGATGAGGTCAATAGCCACATTATACAGTTATAGACTAGTGATGAGGTCAATACCCACATTATACAGTTATAGACTAGTGATGAGGTCAATAGCCACATTATACAGTTATAGACTGGTGATGAGGTCAATAGCCACATTATACAGTTATAGACTGCTGATGAGGTCGATAGCCACATTATACAGTTATAGACTGGTGAAAAGGTCAATAGCCACCTTATACAGTTATAGACTAGTGATGAGGTCAATCGCCACATTATACAGTTATAGACTGGTGATGAGGTCAATAGCCACATTATACAGTTATAGACTGCTGATGAGGTCGATAGCCACATTATACAGTTATAGACTGGTGAAAAGGTCAAAAGCCACATTATACAGTTATAGACTGCTGATGAGGTCGATAGCCACATTATACAGTTATAGACTGGTGATGGGATGAGGTCAATAGCCACATTATACAGTTATAGACAGGTGATGAGGTCAATAGCCTCATCACCATTTACAGGTTCCACCATATACGATGGAGCCATAATCAAGCTTCGAGTGGACAAGTGATCTGTATAGGTGTAGGAGAGTAGCTTGATCCCATCCCCAATTTGAGTTAGAAACATCTTTAAGTAAATCGAGTGCCTTCAGGCATTTAGATTTTAGGCATTTGATATGCGGCAAAAAACTTAAAGTGGAGTCGAAAATTACACCCAAGAATTTGGCCTCCTTGACAACTTTGATGGGAGTGCCATTTAAAGATAGTTCTGGGTCATCTAATTTGGAAGCTGGGTTTCAAAGTTTGAAGAGAAAAGAGATAAGAATTTGAATGTTAATGGATTAAATTTAAAGATAAGAAGATGTTTATTCATGGGGGCGAAAACACAGGCAACAGAGAATTGATTTTGACCGAAGAAAATGATTTAAACAAATCTCTCTCTCTCACCCCTCTACTTCTTCTTATTGATGATAATGTAACCAGTACTTTTCTTTCCGGTCTAATTTACGAGGAGAAGCACGCAACGTGTATTTCTGCATGTATAACAAGGCCAACAGTTATCATTCTCTTCGTTTACCTGCATTCTTTGAAAGGATATGACGCAGTGCATAATTTCCTATGTAAAATGTGATTTTGAACCCTCATCCTTACAAGAATTCAAGGAAAAAAAACAACAGTCTGAATGTATCCCCTTATTGTATTTCCCATGTTTTGATATCCGGTCGTTCTTCGATCCTCCGATAGGTGTCGCTTTCGCGCAGGTCATCGAGAATAACGTTAAACAAACCAAACCAGCCATGACTAGTCTAGAATTAGCAACGTTTTAATCTGCGAAAAAGGCCCATATTTCAGTACCGTCAAATAATCGTTGTTTCACATTTCTAAACCAAATCCCCTCAAACTATATTCCATATCAAACATGTTAAAAGCATAAGTTGATAACACCAACATTTGTTATATGTGGATCGCATCATGTTACAACTGTAAAGGACACAGGGATATATTTCCGTGCCACAGCTATTCATAATAGAACAAATCAGTGCACATCTTTAACGCAAGACAACGTACTAATGGTGGAAATGCAATGGCTAGTGTAGAAGACACACAGTACCTCACGTCCGACTGACGATTCCAGCCAGTGTCATCCGATTACGTCACAGATGAGTCCTCACAACTGATCATCACACGTGATATAGATGGATATGTTCGGATTCTCATATATCAGATGATCTGTCTGCCCCATCCCAAGGGTGGTGCATACAGTGTGAAGTAGGTACACTACGGCGACTGTTACCACTGCGTAGATGCCGCCTACTTGTACAACCAGGATCTTATTTTCGCTTTATTCTTCCTGGTCACATGAGTCGTATGTAGGTCATTGCGTCACCCGGCATTGTGTCGTGTATTGATAGCAGCCACCATCGAAGGTTGGTAACCGGATACCCATATATAGTAAACATCCTGACAAGCGTTAATGGCGGGTCTTTATGTCACAGTCACAGAGCGATGGCCAACAGGCACATGACACGGGTTGGTGGCCAACAGGCACACGACAAATGACTATGTCAATTGTCTGTTGACCAACGAACTGTGTCATATGTTAAGTGACTGCGGGCCAACGACCTGTGTCATATGTCAAGTGTCTGTTGGCCAACGACCTGTGTCATATGTCAGGTGTCTGTTGGCCTCAACCCTGTATCACATGTCAAGTATCTGTTGGCCACCTACCTGTATCATATGTCAAGTGTCTGTTGGGCAACGACCTGTGTCATATGTCAAGTGTCTGTTGGCCTCTAACCTGTATCACATGTCAGGTGTCTGTTGGCCACCTACCTGTGTGATATGTCAAGTGTCCGTTGGCCAACGACCTGTATCACATGTCAGGTGTCTGTTGGCCATCTACCTGTGTCATATGTCAAGTGTCTGTTGGCCTCCTACTTGTATCACATGTCAAGTGTCTGTTGGCCACCTAACTGTGTGATATGTCAAGTGTCTGTTGGCCAACGACCTGTGTCATATGTCAAGTGTCTGTTGGCCTCTAACCTGTATCATATGTCAGGTGTCTGTTGGCCTCTAACCTGTGTCATATGTCAGGTGTCTGTTGGCCTCTAACCTGTGTCATATGTCAAGTATCTGTTGGTCTCTAACCTGTATCATATGTCAAGTGTCTGTTGGCCTCTAACCTGTGTCATATGTCAATTGTCTGTTGGCCAACGAACAGTGTCATATGTGCCTGTTGGCCAACGACCTTTGTCATATGTCATGTGTCTGTTGGCCACCGACCTGTGTCATATGGCAAGTGCCTGTTGGCCAACAAACTGTGTCATGTGTCTGCGGGCTACCAACCTGTGTCATATGTCATGTGTCTGTTGGCCAACGAACTGTGACATGTGTCCGCGGGCCACGGACCTGTGTGACATGTCATGTGTCTGTTGGCCAACGACATGTGTTATATGTCATGTCTCTGCGGGCCACCGACCTGTGTCATATGTCATGTGTCTGTTGACTAACGACCTGTGTCATATGGCAAGTGCCTGTTGGCCAACAAACTGCGTCATGTGTCTGCGGGCTACCAACCTGTGTCATATGTCATGTGTCTGTTGGCCACCGACCTGTGTCATATGTCAAGGGTATGTTGGCCAACGAACTGTGGCATGTGTCCGCGGGCCACGGACCTGTGTCACATGTCATGTGTCTGTTGGCCAACGACATGTGTTATATGTCATGTCTCTGCGGGCCACCGACCTGTGTCATATGTCAGGTGTCTGTTGACTAACGACCTGTGTCATGTGTCAAGTGTTTGTTCGCCAACGGCCTGTGTTATATGTCATGTGTCTGTTATCCAACGACATGTGTCATGCTTCCGCATGTTTAAGCTTTACGCGGCAAACATATGTGATCACAATCATCCAAACATCGACATTATCAAGACGGAGCAGTGTGTTCTGCTCCAGATCCAGACTGGTAGCACACTGGAGAAAAAAATACATCATCCTTAACACTGTGACCAATAAAACAGCAGGAAGACTCCCAGTGAGTATGCCGATGCAATGTCGCATTAGGGTGGCCTATACATGTGTTTCACGTGTGTATGTGAATGAACTGTACATTGGATTTGGGTATTAACCGTGCTGCGTTTGTACAATATCTGAAGAAAGCATGCTTCTGAGCATGTTGAATTCGTAGGTTTAAGAATTTGTTTCATTAATGTATAGTAGATTACAGTGGTGACCATTACAGCTGGGTCTAGCCTACTGCGACAGACTACAATTAATCTGCCATGGATGACCACACTTCTGCCTAAAACAATAAGTGATGAACAACATTGGATAATTCAGTGACCCTCATGAGCTGTGAGCATGAGACGGTTACCTTTGTATTCCAGCTTCACACTGCCTGCACCAGCCTCGGACCAAGCACAGATATATCATCTGCTATACAAAAACCAAAATATAGCTGTCAATATATGATCTGGTGTAACGCAACCACCCTGAGACCGAGGACAGATG